GAAATGCCCGATACGTGATGTTATCTGTCTACCGCAATCCAGACAAATTAAAAAAGTTATTTTTTGTTTCTTTACAACTACGGCACTCCGGACATTCAAAAATCTCATAGCCTTGTTGCCTCTTTACTTTTTGGTTGTCGCTGTTAACTGACTTTACAATTCTTCTCCATTCCGTTCTATTGTGAGCTGCCTCTTCCCACTCATTCTGCTTGTTAATTCCCTTTAAGTTTTCGTGGAAAATATCCTTGAACCTTTTGAGTTGTCCACCCGGCCTCCTCTTACCTTCTACAAGCTCACCGTAAAGCAGAGATTTTGGTATGCGGTTTTCTTGCATTCTGCATACGTGACCAGCCCATCTTAAGCGGGACTTTGTAATCATGACTTCAATACTCTCTCAGTTAGCTTTTTCAAGGATCGATACGTTTGAGACGTGATGGAACCATTATATTCTTAAGACTGTCTAAGATGTCTCTGTTGCAACTTGTTTAATGCGTTCATGTGTCGGCGGTACGGCACCCAGGTTTCGCTTCCATATAACATGGTGGGAATTATTATCGCTCGGTACACCGCAAGTTTCGTTTTTGTCCTCAAGTCATGATTGTAGAAAACCCTGTCTTTTAATTTCTAAAGAATGCCTTTGAGGCGCTGCTAATCCTCTGCTGAATTTCAGAGTCGATATTGGCCTTTTCCGAAATCAAACTGCCGAGGTAATTAAATTCCGCTACATATTCCAACAGCTCATCTCCGATTTTTATGACATTGTTGTGATCTTCCGGGGGAGTGCATAAAATTTTAGTTTTATCGATGTTCAGCTTAAGTCCCAAGGCCTCATATGCTCATGTATATGTGTTCAACATTTCTTGCAATTGGTCTAACGTATTTGCAACTAGAGCACAGTCATCAGCGTATTGTAGTTTTGTGATGAATTTTGTTCGTGTTTTTGCCCTGAGTCTTTTTATGTTGAACAGACCGCCGTCGTATCTGTATCTAATGCCCAAACCTCTCTCCTGCAGTTTGCTGTCCACTATAATGGCGAGCACTGCCATGAATATACTGAATACGAGAGGCGCTAAGACACAACCCTGCCTAAGGCCTCTGTTTGTTAGGAAGGGATCGCTCAGTGATCCATCATATGACACTCTTGATTTGTTGTTATTATGGAGGCTTTTACACACTGTAAGAAATTTGATTTGACTCCGAACTTTTTCATAATTGCCCAAAGTGCATCTCTGCTCACAGAGTCGAAGGCTTTTGTTAGATCGATGAATAAAACGTAAAGTTTAGACTGCTGCTCTTTTACTTTTTCCTGTAGTTGCCGGATGGAGAATATGGAATCGACGGTACCGCGGTTGGTGCGAAAACCCGTTTGCGATTCTGGGAGGATTTTTTCTATATGTGGGTGCAGGCGGTTGACATAATTTTTGCAAGAATTTTTCCTCCGATAGCCAGTAGTGAAATTCCTCGGTAGTTTCCGCAGTTTGATGCACTTCCTTTGTTCTTAAATATATTCACTATATTCGCGTTGCAAAAGTCCTGAGGTACCTCTCCGCTTTCCCATATGACATCAAAGAGAGCCTTAATATGACCAATAAGTTCTTTACTTGCATACTTATAGATTTCCGCCGTCACAGCTAGCTGAATCGCGTCACAGCTAGCTGATTTGTTGTTTTTAAGCTGTTTTATGGAGTCCTTTATTTCCTGTTCTGTTATTGGAATGTCTAATACATCGAGGCTGTTAGACTGAGGTATTATGTTGAGTGCTTCCATATTGGGGTTGTTTTCTTGGTTAAGGATATGGCTGTAATCCAGCGGTTTCTGATTTGCTCTTCCTCTTTTAGAAGTTCGCCATTTTGTGCCATGATTGGGCATCTTGCCTTCTTAGTTGGACCGTATACTTCTTTTACAGCCGCGAAGAATTTCCGATAGTCGTGATGCGTGGCATACTCCTGAATCTGACTAGCTTTTTGCAACCACCAAATATCCTTTAGTTGGCGCAGGTTTCTTCGGAGCGTGTTGTTGGCTGCCTTAAAGTTGTCTGCTAGTCTTGGATTGTGTGGATTTGCAGTGACGGCTTGATGTGCTCTATGCTTTTGTTCCAACAAAGCCTGTATATGTGGTTGATTTTCGTTAAACCAGTCTGGTTGTTTTTTTTTGTTGGATTTTCCCAGTACTGTTTCGCTGGTTTTGTGAATCGCATCTCTTAGTTGTGTCCAGCCATGTTCAGCATCCACGATTGAGATTGAAGTTATCGGTGGAAGTGATTCTTTGATGGCTTCCCGGAGGGCGTCGGTGGTATCAGTCGCTTTTTTTGTCTTTTAATTCGGGTGAAGTTTTCTTGTAAACTTAGAAGAATATCATCAGACGACATCCAAATAATCATAGATAACTTTTAAATTGACCACTCCCATGTTATTTTAGGAGCCGTATTTTAGCGGTACCTAGCAGGAGAAAAATCAGTTTTTTGCACATTAAAGGGGGCAAACCTGCATTACCGCGCGATGGGAGTAAAAATTCACACGACATGATTTTGATCATGCTTTTGACGCACGAGCTAGCGAGAAAAAAAATTGGTAAGGATCGTGCAAACATCAAAAAACATTTGTTTTAAGTTTTAAAGCTTAGAAAAACATTATAATAAACTTGATACAGTATACCTGGTACCAATATCCTCTAGTTCTATGCTAGGAAGTAAATTTTCATGCATATTTTCATTGATAGGTTTGTAGCTTCTGAATAGCGGTCTAGGTAAAGTATTTAGCTCATTTGCTAGCTCAGAATTAGAATTGTTAGAGTTAAGCAACTCGCATTCTCATTGGAGGACATCGTCATATTTATTTCAAACCAATAATCAACGAGAATATTCGTATAATTTAACAAAATTAAATTAAATCAATTAAAGCGTTAACATTATTAGGCATTTGCATAAAAGTGTGTATTTTGGGTGATATTCCATAAAATTTCCAGACTATTGAGGAAACAGAAAATGTACAGATTACAGAAATAAATTGAAAATAACATTTATATTAAAACAGTTTTATATGTCACTTTTTCAAACATGTCTTTCAAATTCTCCAATTTAATAGCTGTTAGTAAGAAGTCCCACTTCAAATATGCGCACATAGTGCACACACTTTTTTGAATCGCTGTTTCCATTTTTATAGTCAGATTTCAACTATTAAGCTACAAAAGTTCTAGTTAAACGTCTTTTAAGGTGCGTATTCATTATCCGCACGAACGAACGAACGAACGAACGAATGTTCGCTAGTGGTATGGACGGGGACCGCACGATAGAACCGCACGAGAAGACCGCACGCATTTCTTCATTCGCGCGCCAGTTCAAATCGTCAAGATATTGTTATAAACCTGTTTTTTTTTTGTTTATATACCGTCATTGAATTATCGCTAAGCAAGTTACTATGGAGCAGTGCATAAGGAGTCGGGCTAGGAAACGAGAGACCGGAGTTCGAATCTCGGCCGGAACATCACTTTTTATTTTTTTTTTAAATACTGTTGTATTCTATAGTTTATTTTTGTAGTATAAGAAAAAGAACTATTTATTCTGTTATTTTTTAATCTCCGTTATTAATATAAATTGATTGTTAGTACAATACCTCATTTAATATAAAATAATATTCTACTTTTTGAAATGTATCGGGCCCTAATTGTACCTAAAAGTAATATATTTTTAGTGATATACCATATTGTAAACTATTTAATATTTTAGTCACTTAAAAAGTTAATTTGCATTGAATAATTGCCTACCATTAAAGGAAATTTGAGCTATATAATCCTTGATGGGCATATTCTGGGTATGCAAATACTTCCTTTAAATTTTGGGTGTCGTTCAACCGATTTATTCTCAAAACCAGAAACTTCTACATATAAAAAGAAGCAGAGGTCACTAATTATAATAAACTTCACCCTTGGTATTACTTCCACTAATTATAATAAACTTCACCCTTAGAATTACTTCTATCACAATTACAATACGTTCATCTGCATTGGCATTTTCTACTTTTCGATGGGAAACAATAAACTTCCCAATATTTTTTAAATGATGTAACAATTCCTCTTGTGGTTACTTTTCCATAGATATCCTCAACTCTGTCCTCATGTGAATTCAGAGGCAATGAAAATGAAAATTATTTACCATAAACATCGCAAAATAAAAACCTAATAAACAATTTTATACCGAATATAGAAATAAATTTAGTATTTTTACCTATTATCGTCCAAATCCATGTTAATAGATAATTATTATTTTTAAATATATTTTTGGAACTGCTGGTTTTAGTAGTTATTAAATTAAACGAACTAAAAAGTCTTAAAAATAAACAATTCTTAACCATAACCTCAAAAATGCAGATCTCCTGTCAACTTTCTTTATTTTTTATTTATTCATTATTTTCCTAGTGACGTCACAGGTGGTATGCGCGAACTGAACGAAATTGGAGCCGCTATCGAGCATACCTTGTATTCTTTGTACCATGACGTCTAAACGCCTTTGATGTACCGACTCGAAGCGGATGGTCGAGCGCACGAACGAACGAACGGCCGCATGCGTTCGGTCCCCGTCTAAATATACCGCACTTTCATTCGTTCGTTCGTTCGTTCGTTCGTTCGTTCGTTCGTTCGTTCGTTCGGATAATGAATACGCACCTTAAATCTGAAAGCGCACGCAGGCGAACGGCTTTGATGTACCGACTCGAAGCGGATGGTCGAGCGCACGACCGAACGAACGGCCGCATGCGTTCGGTCCCCGTCTAAATATACCGCACTTTCATTCGTTCGTTCGTTCGTTCGGATAATGAATACGCACCTTTAAGTGTCTTTTAATTTAAAGACAAAACTTAGGACTAACTAGAGCTAGTAGCTTAAATTAATTTCTATTGAGAATATAGTTAAAACACAATATTTATATAATAAAATCGACTAACCCCCCTGCTATATCTTTCTACATTCTACATAGCATTCCTGTATGTTTCTTGTCCGTGTTGCAGGACAGATACTCCTGCTCAAGCGCAGTATGGGCCTTTGCTGTGACCTTCTGGGAGATCCTCAACTTCTGTTGCGAAAGACCCTTCGCCAATCTCTCCAACGAGAAGGTCATCCAGAATGCCGAGCATATGTACTACGGAGGAGAACTACAGGTACGAAGTAAAATATTTTTAATATTTGCGGTATCATTGTACATCGATGTTGTAAAAAAATCCAATGAAAAAAATCAATAGGACACCTTAAAAGGAGGTTCTTCTACTTTACATATTTTTTTGTGTTTTAGGTCGTCCTCAATAAACCACCCCACTGTTCCACGGATATCTACGATCTGATGTGCTCCTGTTGGCGACGAGACGATTCCGACAGACCGACATTTAAAATAATTTCAACTTTTCTAAAACGAATCAACAAAGATTATGTCCCATCCGAATAAATTTATTTTTTTGAAAAACCAGCTTAGTTCTTAAAACATAAGTGCTCATAAATAGGTGTGATATTAAAATAATAATCGGTTTAAAGAACTTAACTTTAAAAAAAACTAAACCACCATTGAATCATGCTAAATTTTAGAGGAAAATCTCGTATAATGTAGATTTAGAACTATCGTTACGTACCTTATCTTTTTACAGACAAAAATCTTAATAAAAGAATGTAATATTTAAATTTTGAAAATAAATTAAAATAAAACGAATGGTGCGCCATCTGACGACGGATAGTCGAACTTCGATATGTAAATAGAGTTAACAGAAACCTTTTGTACCTACATTTTTGACATGTTTACAATTTACGAAAAAATGAGGTTAACGTAAATTCCAAGAGCACATTCCAAGCATTCCTTTGTAAATTCCAGTTTTAAAGCTTGTTTTTAATGGGATGTGATGACTGCACGTATTTCCCACTAATAAATTTAAATTTGTTTTAAATCGCCTTTTGTCTAAAGTGTTGTGTTAAGTCGGTTTGGTAACAATGTCGAGTAAGCCGAAAATGTACATTCACCAGATGCCCTACAATGAAAGAAGACAATTATGTGTTATTCTGGATAGGAACGAGCTCTGGGTGGAATTAGGGATAAAGCATATGCAGTACGACGAGGATACGATAGAAAAATTAAAGAGGTTTATATCGATGGGCCCGATGGGTCGTTCACCCTCCTGTGAACTTTTACATTTATGGTCACACCAAAATCACACCGTAGACGGTATGTATAAGTTCATTAATTGTTTTTGTACCAGTTTACACAGATTTTAAACTATCCAAATATTGGCTCCCCTATTAATTTTACAGCAAAGTTGTAAATAGGTTTTTAAAGGTCTGCTTATGCTGAATACACATGCCAGTTTTCGCATGCAAAAAGCTGTATCTGTTTTGAAATTAAAACTGACCAGGTAACAATGCAAGACACCCTGTATTATTTAATACTTTTTCAGAACTTTTTATTCTACTGCATCGAATGGGATTGTACAACGGCATGTATTTGATCAAAGATTTGGTGGAGGACAAGTACCACAAACTGTTCAATGTGGACCACCTCACTGGACTACTGTCATCTGAACTGAAGAAGTTACGGATACCAGACAGCAAAGTTCCATCAGTAGACTTTGACAATACCACCAAAGAAACACTCAATAAAGATTGTGGTCTCGACAACGGAGTTAGTTCAGAATGTAATGAGTCAGGCATTGTGGGTAGACTTCTAAATGGGCCGGTTGATAACGGTAAGGCTTCACCAACCAGAGCTGCAAGACTCAATGACTTTGGGTCAAATGGTGTTAAAATGAGACATTTTTCAAAACTTTTAGGTTTTTTCTTAGTTACAACCATTTAAATACAAAAGTATTTCTTTTATAATAAGCATTTGATGGTAACAAAACTATTGCAAAAGTGAAAATATACCAAAAGTACCCCTAAAAACGTCAGTATGCAAAAAAGAGTGTCTCATATTTAACCCATAAACAGTCATAGAAATTAGACATAGAAATTTATCTCTTTTATTAGTAAATCTTGAATAAAAAAACCTACACTAATAAAGAATACCTACATACAGGGTCCGGCAATAGTGCGTCGGGCATCTGTAGCTCCTAGTATGTATGAGGATGTATTTCAGGAAAATATTTAACCTTCTATAGGGTGGCTTAAAAAAGTGTGAGTGGATCGGGATTATTTTTTTTGAATGGAACACCCTGTATATTATTGCATTTTTGGCCTTCTTCCAGATTGTTTCATAATCCTAGATATGAGTAAATATATTTTGATAATTTCAGAGATATTAATAAATAAATATTCAAGACCTGTCCTGAAATCAAAACTATATTAGATATTTACTTTAGATGGTCTATACTTACTTTGCTATAAATATCGTAATCACAAGTCATATAGCGTTTTCAAAATTCTACGCCAAATTTTCTGAAATATTGTCCTTGTAATAAACAAGGATATTGTCAAGGTGAAAGTGTATGTAGCTGTGGTATGTAGCGCTAAAATGTATTACTGGTTGCCTGCACAACCGCAACGTGTCAAGAAAAATGGCGCATTCGCCAGAAAGTAAAATACATTTTTAGGCGCCATCTCTTAATCAAGTCGACAAGTAAGCGAATCAGACAATGGAATTGTCCAGTATGAAGTAGAACCACGGCACATAAAACAATCGGCACGCCAACTCTACTCAGATTCCATTGTTTAAAATTTCTATAAAATTTGACCTTGTCGGCGCCATTATGGTTTCCTAGTCAGGGCCGGATTAAAACGTATTAAAAAATTTCTCAGAAAATACGACAGGGTCGTATTAAAAAAATACTGTAATTGACTGTAACTGAATTTTATTTACAATACTGTTGTCCAAACAAATGAATCGTTAACCGCGCATACTTCTCGAAAAGTAAAAATGAAAAAATCAATTAAATATTTCACTGTAGAGAATAGACAATTAAAATTAAAAAACATGCATCTAACAAAAACATGCCAGGAGTTACAAACAAGAATTAAAAAAATACCAATAAAATATTTATTGAACAATATAAAGAGGCTACGTACAAATTATGCCCATCAATGGGCGTAGCAAATTTTATTAATATTCAAATTTCACAAATTAATAAATCCACAATTTTTTTTGAGAAACTTCTATTTTTTTCATGGCAGGAAACAAAGTAGGTACCGCATTGTATTTTATACGGTTACAAAGTGAATTGGTAAACATTTTAAATTCAAAGTGAACAGAACACAACCTGTACTTGTGGGCCTTATTTATATCTTCAATCAAGTCTTCTCCGTTAGCTGCAATTGCCCATGTTCTTACCCTAAAAATGTATTGTTAACTTATTTTCGATATACTCATTTTATTTATTTTTATAATTATATTTAAATGAATAATATAATGATTTTTAAATTGAATTTTTAATGTCTAAATTCTAGATACAACATTAAATTTTATTTTACTAAATATTTAACATTAAATCTTACTAATATTAAAGTTTGTTAAGATTTTTAATTAGATCTTCCTATTTAGCTGAATGTCCTAATATGTATACTACTGTTTTTTTTTACAACTAAAATATGTTAAAATAATTAATCACATATATACATACCTAATAGGATCTCTAGGAAACAGAAAGAAACTTTTATTGAACAACAAAAATAAAACTACTAAAACAAATTATATTATATAATAATAATAATAGCTCCCGTATGACGCCTTGGGAGTAGCAAGGTTCAGCTTGCCATACTAGAGCCGTTCGGTATACAAAGGAAGGTAATGTGGCTAGCACTACGCTTCAACCGTCTATTATTACCTCAGGATTGTGAATCCCAAGTACTCATTTAAAGCTGAGTCGACCTAGGTACCCAAACTATTTTTATTTTAATAAAAATTGTCGGCTGATGAAATGCCGGGTGTGGGATTCGAACCCACTACCTTGAGATTGGTAGACGAGAGCCTGTACATCTACGCCACCGGGCACCTATTGGCAACTATATTACATAAGAAACGAAAATAAAACTAGAAAAACCAAATATATCACATAATAAACAAAAATAAAACAACAAAAACAAAATATATCACTCAAGAAAAAAATCAAAATAAATTAAGCCGCACGCTACTGACTCGAATCTGCCGTAACTGTGTGTTGTCGCTGAAAAAACTACGACACTGGTTACTTTCTGTTGATGGAAACCCTAATGGCGGCGTGCGCGACGGTATGCGCGTAGCGTTCCCGCCAAAGAGAGTTAGCCTGCCGTGTGATTTATATGCCGTGGTAGAACGCTCTCCGAGAATTGTAGAGGTTTCGAGAAGCAGTCAATAGAGTATATAAGCCGGCGTAACCGGCAGTTGGGACAGTTGAAGTTTTTGAAGTTTAAATATACCGCGCTTTAAATTATTTTTTATTAATTATTACGAATCGGACAATTTGGTGAAGGAATTTTATAAATAGTTAGTTTTGTGTTATAAGTAGTAATTGTGTGTATAAAGTGAGATAATAAATTCGTTATGTATTTTATCGTGAGTTTAAAATAGTGGACCCACGGAATCCGTAACAATATAAAATATTTTTTTTTATTTTTTAAATGGAACACCCTGTATATTATTTTTTTACTAGATGGAGAGTTAAAAAATGAACATTTTTGCACTTAAAGTATTTCTAAATGTTTAATGGTTTCGCAGATACATGCAGTATTATTTAATATGATAGTTAGTGGTTAGTATGTGTTAGTTTTGATAAAAATTTACTGGTGGAAAATACCATAATGAAATATAAAACCGCGAATATCTGCGAAACCGTTAAAATTTTTGAAATGCTCTAAATTCAAAAAATGTTATTTTTTTAATTTTCCATTTATTGAAAAAATAATATACAGGATGTTCCACTTAAAAAAAACGAAGAAAAATTATTTTATATTTTAGAAAGTTTGGCGTAGAATTTAGAACATCCTGTATAATTTACTATTAGCATATTTATAACAAAGTAAGTACAGGCCATCTAATGTAAATACCTAATATAGTTTTGATTTCAGGACAGTTCTTGTATTTTTAATACTTTTTTAAGAAAGGCTGAAAATATATAATATTGTTACGGATTCCGTGGGTCCACTAATTTAAACTCACGATAAAATACTTAACGAATTAATTTTTTTCTCACTCTGTACATACAACTTATACCGTGGCTAACGTCATATTCAAGGCCTGACTGTCTTGACAGTTCTACCGAAGTGGTCCAGAATTAATAGTCGTAAACAAACCAATCTGTATTTTTTACGCGTTTCTATGCTAATAAAATTATACTAAATAATTTTGAGTGAATAGTGAACTATCTAGATCCGATTCATAACATCCTACCCGCGAAAAAAACCATACTTTCGGTAAAAATTATAGTAACACCGGCGATGCCGGCTGTGTGTCCGGGCTAGGAAAAAGTTGGGGAATTTATATAAAAACATAATTAATAGCGTTAGTGTTAGTGTATAGTGTTAAACCAACGTAAGCGACGTGTATTTTTATGTAAAACAGTTTTCGTTTCTTTATTTTTACTTTGTGAAATCAAAAATTCCGCGACATTGTTCTGTGCCTGTGCCTTGTAGCAGCAATTATAATAAGTCCTCAGGATCTGTCTACATTCTCTTTCCCAACAATATTAACTGTAACTAGGTCACGTCCAAAACCTACAGAACATGCTGTGCCTACAATTTTTCCAAATCAACCCTCTTATGGACCCTCTGTGCATGTTCCTATAAAGAGAAAACGTCCCGATGAAAGAAAACAAGATTTGGAAATTCAGGATGAAATAAATATTGAAAAGTATTATTATTATTATGAAATGGCAATATATTTTAAAGAAATTAAATGAATTTGTACTTTATTTCACAGTATTTTATATAAAAAAAATGATATCTTTATCTTTTTATTTACGATTTATGGAGATGGTTACTTGATGAACATCGAACTACAAATTACTTTAATGTTAATAGTTAATTCTATCTGATATCCATATTTTTTAAATATGTTAGGCAAATTTTTACAATTATTTTTAATTAAACTTTAAAATGTATTCTGCCGTTATCATATACAATACATTTTCTTAACTTGTCGATAAACGTATAGTTTTCAAATTTTTTAATATTTGGAAACTTTTTATCACAGGTATATTATTACTAGTTGCTAAATACTCGCTAACGCAATTTTAGGACACGCTTTTTATTATCTAGATTTTATTTTGTTCATCTTATGCTGTAGTTTATTTCATATTAATATTCGTGCTTTAGATCTAAATTTTAATGCTATTCAATTACTTTAACGCGATAAAAAGTTAATGTTAAATTTTAATACCTTTCTGTATAATATTTTTCATATTTATATTAAATATATAGCAAAACTATCAATAAATACTATTATTTATGCAAAACCTATATGCAGTACCATATGGCACAATACAAAAGCCGGACTAGTGCGGTGACGTCACAAATCGATGTCTCTGGCCTGTCTGTCATGTTGGTCATGCTTATACTATTTACAACACAATTTATGCAACTACTATTACTCTAACAGTACTGGCACCTTCGCCAATTAATTCACAATTTAAAGCGCGGTATTATCAAACTGCCAACTGCCAAAGCGCGGGCCTTTATATACTCCCTGGCGAGTGTTTCTGGAACGTTCTAAAAAATGCTGTAATTTTCTTTTACTTTGTGGCGAATTCGCCAGGTTCCTCAATGCACGTTGCGGTTATGTAGCAGTAATGCAGTTATGCAACCAGTAATACAGTGTAGCGTTACATACACCTTGACAATATATTTATATTTAATTATTAATATCTGTGAAACTATCGAAGTAAATTTACTCATATCTTAGAATTATGTAAAGTGATATGAAAAGAAGCCAAAAATGCAATAATATACAGGGTGTTCCATTTAAAAAAAATCATCGCGATCCACTCACACTTTTTTGAGCCACCCTATAGAAGTAAAACTATTTTCCTGAAGCACATCCTAGTATATACTTTAGGTTTGCACTTAAACAAAAATCTCAAGTTTTTTATTCTAGGAGCTACAGATGCCCGACGCACTATTGCCGGACCCTGTATAATTCGAATCAAGATATACACTTTACGAAAATTACTTGACTTTAGTGATGGGCAAAACTGTTATTTTTAGATAACAGTTGAAACTGTTATAGTTATTTATAAAAAACAGCTTAAAATAACAGCTTAAAAATAACAGGTTTCTTTATTTTATTGCTAAATATCTGAAAGAATATGAGGCGGTCACCGCCAGGCGTATTAACGCAGTTGCAACAATGACGTGCTCGGTGGTAGTATTTCCAGGGTGTCATAACATTTCTAAATATCGATTGTTATCTAAAATACCTCTCTAAAAACGGGGGTTGTTTACAAATAAGCGCTGTTTACAAATTGCGATATAAAAAAGCCAAAATGCCGCCACTCGTCTATATCTATAAATTCCGATCTACCTACGCCCTACCCCTCGATCCGCGTAGATTCTGAATTGCGTAGCAGTGTACAGGGTGCATCTCACTCGACGGGCGAGAAGCTCTTCGTTATGATTTTACCATTTGCGGTCAAAAAATAGCAATATAAGAAAATGTGTAGTATATTCTTCATAAGTAAACCAACTACACACTAGAGTTCGAATTAATTTTACACTTAAACTAGCATGTACAGTTTGACAAATATAGGAAGAGACTTGGGGATAGCACCGGTCGCGCACACGATAGAGAGAGAACGCATTCGGCGGAAGAGAGATGCAGTTACGCTACGAAAAATCTGATTGAAGCAAATTTGTGGGATGTCCACTGCGCATCGGGGGGCGTCTCTTATTTTATATTTCTCACGTCTCTAGCTATACTTGTTAAGTTGTACCCGCGACTTCGTTCGCATCGAATTATTAATTTGTAATGGTGATGATAAAGCAAAGCAAGAATTTCCATTAACATACAAACTGGATAAAATTTTCTCACATTTGCCAAAAATATGCTTTAAACGTCGAGCAGTTTAAGCAGAATCGTGGTTAATCAATTACTCAACTTTTTGGAACACCCTGTATTATTTTTTAAAAAATTTCAAAATATGTAAAAAAACAAAATAAATTATGCGTGTCCAATCGTTTTCCCGAAAGACTAACCGTTTTTTAAATAATAAATATTGTAATATTTGAGGGGCGTTTTCACCCTCTTGGAATTTGAGATTCGAGAAACCCCTCCTTATCGCACCTCTACACCCCACAGTCAATCCGTTTACCAAAAATCAGCTTTAAACGTCAAGCAGTTTAAGCAGAATAGTGATTACTCAGTGGTCATATTTTATGAAACACCCTGTATATATTTTGTAAAAATCTCAAAATATGTAAAACAACAAAATAAAATATACGTGTTTAAGAGTTTTTTCGAAAAACTCACCAGTTTTTAAATAAAAAATATTCTAATATTTGAGGGTGGTTTCACCCCCTTAGAATTTGAGTTTCGAAAAATCCCTTCTTATCGCACCTCTACACCCTAAAGTCAATCCGTTTTCCAAAAATCAGCTTTTTACGTCAAGGGCTTTAAGCAGGATCGTGATTAATCAATGACCAGATTTTTCAAAACACCCTGTATACATTTTTAAAAAATCTTAAAATATTATTCTGAAAATTTTTCAGAATAAATAAATACTTAAATATTGAAACTTAATAACAAAGTATTGAAACATACAGCGCCATAATATCTCGACCTCCGCCCGTTATGCTCGTAACAGGTTGAAAAACAATATGTATCTAAAACAACTGATGCGTTATTCTCCAACCTGTTTCAAACCTCCGATTATCTCGAACGCCGTTCTGTTATGCTCGTAACAGGTAAAAAAACAACATAGCTAAAACAACTGATGCGTTATTCTCCAACCCGTTGCGAGCCTCCATCGACAATCGACCGATGCAGCAGCGCTCCTTTCCCACTCCTGTTATCTCGACAGCCAGGCGTTATGCCCGCAACTGTTTCAAAAAAGCTGCTTCTTTTATATCCTATTATTTTTAAGCTGTTGTCAGCACAACACGACGCGCCGCGCCGTAGCGCATACCCCACTCCGTTGTCCGTTGTATCTCGCCGCCTGTATCGATGGTTGTCGAAATAATAGGTTTTCCATCCATACTAGTTGTTTTTTGGAATTGCTTCGAGCAGCATCGAATTTTGTGGCGGTGCAGAGCGCCGACTTCGTTTCACGAACACTCGATCTCTGAGTGTCGTTATTTTATATCTGTTATTTTTTAAAAGCTGTAACGGTTGCGTTATGTTATTTCTAAATAATTGTTATAAAATAACAGATAGTTAAATAACAACCCATCACTACTTGACTTGAAAGAAAATGATTTAAGTCAAAGACATAAGATTTAAATCATTTTAATTTTAGAAATGACTTGAGATTTAAGTCTTTTGAAAACTGACTTGTTGCAGCTTTGTCACCAACACAAAACCAACAGCTGGATTCGAACAAAATGCTAACCGCTCACGTTGTTCAGAGTGCCGGAGCCACCCCACTGATCCCCTACGAAGATCTGGAAGTCGCTACTCAAAACTGGAGTACTTCAAGGGTCTTGGGTCAGGGTGGGTTCGGTACTGTGTTCAGAGGAACGTGGAAGTGTACCCAGGTGGCGATCAAGCGCTTGGAAACGAAGCTGAACAGCAAGAAGGACTTAACCGAACAGATAAGGCAGTCTATTACGGAGTTGCATTGTTTGAACACTTACAGGCATGATAATATTTTACCGTTGTATGGATACAGTATTGGTAAGTTTATTTCTAGTTATTTCTTATTGATAAACTGTCCTTTTATACCTAACTAATTACCAGAGCTGTTGGTAATATCAAAGAAACTAAACTAAACTCTCTTAAAAGAATCTAAACAAAAATAATATATATAGAGAGAGAGAGAGAGAGAGAGTTGTTATATATATATATATATATATATATATATATATATATATATATATATACAGGATGACCCATTTTCGTGTATTTTCTAGTGTTTATGAGTGGAGATACAAAGATGGGGTTTTCATATCACTGAACTACTTTTTTTATGAAACTAAAAGATTAGGGTGATTCAAAAAAATATATATTTTTTTTCATGCAAACAAGCTCAAAAGTTTCAATTTGGCGTGAAAAGATACCAATTAAAATTTGAGCCCCTTAATATTAATATTAAGACTGCCCACATCACGTTTTTCTATTTTCCATAAGAAAACTATGGAAAAATTTTGTTCTGCACCTTATAAATTTTATTGCTTGCCTGTCCTGTGTCATAAAAAAGATCCTTTTCCTTATTTTTGAGAATTGAACATTCTACAAAAAAGGTCTCTTATGATTTTTCGAGAAACCTAATAGTTTGAGAGTTATATGAGGCTAAAATTCAATTCATCGCAAATTTTAAGGTTTTTGATGCATTACAGCAAATTTGATGGTTTTATTGAAAGAAATTACCCAAAAAAATCATGTTTATCTTAAATTTAGTTTCTTAAACAATAATTGTTAATAGTTTTTTGCAGTAATGAGACCAATGAAACCCTTTGAGATCATTTTTAGCACCAGTTGGCTTCGAAATCATAGTTTATCCCGTTTTTGTTTAATCTAAAGACAAAAAATTTTCTTCGGTCATTTGAAATACTTACATTGGGAATACATTAACTGACGATTGCTACTTGTAACAAATACTGTAGTTGCTTTTCATCTTTAGTGAGGTAATTGTTATATTCTTCGATTAACGAAACTCCTTTTCCAGCTACGTCATTCGTTACTTTTAATGATTTAAAAAATTCAGCATATTCGATGTAATTATCATCATTAGACCAAGTTGAAATGTAATTTTCTAAAAAATCGCTCGGTAAATCAAATTTTTTAAATAATTGCAATGATCTTTTTGATACAAAATCACTTAAATATTTTTGTTGTTTCTCGAAACCTAATAGCACAGAATATCTAGCTACGCAACAGAAGCCTCGTTACATGTAAAAAATCGTAGGTCTCAAAAGGAGACAGACTTTTAAAGCCTGTCTCCAAATCAGATATTTTGATGCGGTAGTTTCACTACTACATAACAGAGGGCGATAAATTTAAAACAAAAAACAGTTTTCTACAAACGAAATTTAAAAGAATTTTATGCAGTGTTGCCATTGTGTAATTTATATTGTAATACTTCCTGATAAAGCCTACGTTCAAATTTGCTACATCATTTAAACATATTAAAATAGATTAGAGCTCTTTTTTCAAACATTTAAGTATTTAACTTGCCATGTTAGTTGGAGTTAAATCTTACGAGCTGAATTAAAATCACTTCCTGACGTTTGATTCTAACTGAATCCTAAATTTTGATTGTAATTCGGCGACAATATAATAAGTATTGTTCTACTATTATGACACCACGGCGTTCGATTGGGCTTAACTTGGTATAGTAAGTATCTTCGGTGACATTGTAATATGATGGTACTATGATGTATCTACTATGATGCATAGGTATATATAGTGGTACCTTAATATAGTACCATATTACAATACCACTTCCTGACGTTCGATTGAGCTCATATTTGATTATACTTGCGTATTTTTGATGACATTGCAATATTATGGTACAATGAAGCATATCAAAGGGTACCATAATGTAGTACCATTTTACGATACCATTTCCTGGCGTTCGATTGGGCCCAAATTTGATATACTTGTGTTTCATTATAAAGATTTGTTTAATTATAATTTTAATTTATTTTACGAATTTTAATTTATTGTACGATGTCGTGACAGCAACTTTTATGCCGAACTAATATATTATTAATTGTACCTGTGTCACTTTTTAAAATCTACCTAGGTCTATATAAATAACATGGCAAACAGAAAAAAATTGTTATTATAGTATTTTTTTAGTCAATTAACATTTTTTGTACTGCATTTTAATAAATCATTTCCATTATTATTAAACGTATATTTCATTACTAACGTTTCAGCATTAATAAATATCACTATCAATCGCCCTGTATATTATTAATTTTAAAGGTAATTAAAGTTATTTTCTTAGTTAACATAATAAAGTAATGTATATTAAAAATGTATTTTGAGAGCATATGTTTTCTAATTTATTTTTTTATTTTTATTAATTTATTCTAATTTTAAAAGCCAAACGAATAATTAATATAAGTGTATCTAACAAGAAACGAAGAATAGAAAGAAATTATTATACACCAGAAAAAGAATGGGATGCCAATTAAAGTCTGTTTGAATCTGGCAACTGTGCATATTTTGCCGAGCTTCAAGGCCGTCGACGTGCCGTCGATCTACGTCGATCCAAAACCGAAAGTTGAAAATTTCCAATTATATTCTGATTATGATATTGTCGCGCCATCTAGTATTTTATTTGTGCAATTTTAGCTCTTTCATTTCGAGTATTTTTCTGTTGCGTAGCTAGATATTCTGTGCTAATAGTTTAAAACCATAAGAGACTTTTTTTATAGAACGTTCAATTCTCTACTAAAAGTAAGTAAAAGGATCTTTTTTATTTCACACGACAAGCTAGCAATAAAATTCTTAAGGTACAGAACAAAATTTTTCCATGGTATTCTTATGGAAAATAGAAAAATGTGATGTGGGCAGCCTTAATATTAATATTAAGGGCTCACATTTTAAGTGGTAACTTTTTACGTCAAATTGAAACTTTTGAGCCTGTTGGTGAGAATTTTTTTTTTACTTCTTTGAATCACCCTACTAAAGATGCTACACACAGATTTGTCCTAGCCCTTTTAGTTCCTGAATTAGAGGGCGAATTTGAAAAGTTTTAATTTTTCGACGCCCCTGGTATCTTGATTGCACCATGACTTATCCAAAAAATAAAAACTGAGTTTCGTAAAGTTTTTCACGTAGAATCCAGTGGCGTAACTAGTTTTTCGCTGAAACCTGCATTTTCGAAATATCACTCAAACTTATTATTTTTTAAATGGGACACCCGGTATATTGATCGTTTCGATCAAAGTCGCGACGCCTATAAACCGCCTCGTGTGTTTTCACATTGAGAGATATTCCAAATATTTCAAGATTAAAGTATTAAGTTGCTATTTAAAAATTAATCATTTCAGGAGGTCCCTATCCTTGTCTGATATATCAGTATATGTCTGGGGGTTCACTAGACAGCAGGATACGGACAAATGATATCAGGAAACTGCTAAATTGGCCCAAGAGACTTACAGTAGCTATAGGTTTGTTTCTTTGAATAAGAAGACTAAGGCAGGAGCATTATGCTATCCATGTATTCATGCAGCATGGTAGGCGGAAAAAGGACTCTAGGGTGGGGATCCTTGACAGTTCTGTTTGACGATTCATTTGACACATTTGAATTTGATTTGAAATTTTGTGGATTTACGGAGCTTATTTTATGTTATTTATTATTTATTCTACTACTGATAGTTGTATAAAGGTAGTAAATCTAGATGGAAATTGTGGCAGACCTTAAATTAACAGTGACACTATCGCGATTTATCGAAAAGGACTCTAAAATAGTTGGTTGCGTATCGTGCGGTAGATCTCGGCATAAATCGAGTGAAATAATGGAACAACTTTTCGCTAGTAAGTGACTATATAATATACATACGTGTAGTAAACCGATCATTTATGAAATTCACTTAAATTAACTAATTATATATTTTTTCTTGCATTTTTGCTTTTATTTACCACTTGTCAAAGATTAGATGTCAAAGAATTTACATACGTCAATTTGACTTACCTGCTTCAGTAGCGTATCGGATGTTTGTGTTAATAAATAATTATTAAAACTTATCTATTTTTATTATAATAATATGTTTTTATAACAATTTTAATAACTACCAATATTTATTCACAACGTAAAATAATAAAAAATATTGAGTCTACCGCACGTCTACCCTACATAATAGTTTTACATTTTTTAAATAAAATTAGAACGGCACTGATAAACCGGAATTTAAGTCGGCCATATTTGAGTCCCATCGCGGTGGACCTAAGATTTTTGATATGCTCCTTCCTTAGTCTTCTTATTCAAAGGTTTGTTTATATAGATTAAATAGTTAAAGTTACTAAAATTATGCCATACACCCAGGAATTAGATGCTAAGTTTAATATCCATAGAATCTGTGCAACTAGCATTGCAAATATTTACTAAAATTCCTTTTTAGGCACAGCCAGAGGTTTGCAGTTCCTCCACACCACCCTGCACAACAACAAACCGCTCATCCACGGCGACATCAAGAGCGCAAACATCCTCCTGGATCCCATGGACCACCCCCGCATCGGCGACTTCGGCCTGGCTCGCGAAGGACCTGATAACAACTACACCCACATCAAGGTGAGCCGCATCCAAGGCACCTTACCCTACCTCCCCGACGACTTCCTCCGATCGCGCCACTTCAGCACCAAGGTCGATACTTACAGTTTCGGCATGGTTTTGTTCGAGCTGGCGACAGCGATGAGCGCTAGTAACCGGAAGACGATTTTTTTGAAGGACCAGGTTATCAATCATCCGCCGGATAGAATTTTCGAGCTGAAGGATAACCGGGTGCCCGGTTACGATTGTATATTCAGTGAGTTGATCAGGATCGGGAAGAATTGTGTGGAGAAGAGGGCCAAGGACCGGCCGGAGATGGTCCAGGTGTTGCTGATGCTGGAGGAGGTGGCCAAAATGAAGTCGGAGAGCGGTAAAAGTAACGATGGGTGTTTGGAGGATTCGTAATAGAGTTGGGAATTCTAGTTCCTCCAGAGGAATAGTTCCTTGAACTAGGTCTTTAGTTCACAATAGTTCCCGACTAACATTGACATCCGCGTTGCTTGCTAATGGGTTTCGTTGTCAGTCAGAACTATTCTCAGTATAACCTGTATAATTTTTATAATGTATGAAATATAACGAGACGTGTAATTGCGTATGTTAAAAACATATAGGTAAGTTTTATTGCAGATAAAAAACAAAAAGAAACTCAAATCAGAGTTTAAAAAACTATATCACAAATCAATTGGAGCAAATAATACGAAAATTTTATAAAAAATTGCATTTTTCGTACTTCAAGCTTTCGGTTTTTATCTAAAAATTCAGAATATCTACTTCGTTTTATAAGATATTTCTTAATTTTAGTGACCTAAAGTAAAATATTCAAAGAACAAACTAAAAATCAAAAACAATATCCACGACAATTTTCTGTGGTAATTGCGCCGGCTGTAGCAATAGACAAGGACGAATCCATCGTCGTCGCCTTGAATTATATCTCGGATCTGCCGACAGAATAGATTCCCGTGAACTAGTCTTTTAATTAGTTCCTCTCAGTCCGGGACAGGTAACATACGGCTGGCACTCTCCACTCCCGCCTAGCATCGGGCTACGATCGCGCTGGCCGATCCGTACGTAACCTAGTCTTTTATTTAGTTCCTCTAGTTCCTTTAGATCCCGATCCGATAACATACGGCTGGCACTCTCCACTCATGCCTAACATCGGGCTACGATCGCGCTGGCCGATCCGCCGCCGTCGCCTATTACGGTCACAGTCTCGATCCCGGAATAGGTCCTGAGGAACTAGTTCTTTAAGAAATCGAGAACTACTTCCTTTCATTCCGGGGTCAAAATAGTTCATTGGAACTAGTTCGTTCAAGAACTACACACCTCTAATTCGTAACAAATATATCTTACCAGGTCGAGGTAGACTACCAAAGTCGTTCTGATGATGGGGTAAACCCCGAAACCGGTAGACGGATATGTGGTCTCCTTGGCCTGGCAAAGCTTTAGCCCACGGCCACACAGAAAGCGATTTTTGCTTTTTTGCGTGTGAAGCGCTTTTGCGATTTTACCGTTTGAAGCTTTTATTTCGATTTGTGTCCAGTGTGACAATAACAACATTTTTAGCAATCCTTGTACGGAAATATCTACTATATGGCAACCACGTTGTCCCAAATTAATCAAAAAATAAAATAAAGACAATGGAAGTCCGAAATTCTTTTAGTTTCGCTACCAATTACATAATAAATTTTGTTTTTAATAATATGTCAACAAAGTTTAACAAGTTTTAATGTTTTAATGAACGGTGAATATTATCTATATTTAAATTAAAGCATTATAGTAGAATAGTCATATCAAGTACCTATACATAATATATCTATCCCTATCACTAAGAATTATATGTTATTAAGGCTGTGAAAAAGCTGTACGACTATCGAGTAAATTATAAAATCGTTAGATTTATGTCTGTAAAAAGCGACTCATCTCATCCCTAGTGCTTCCATTCTTCCTACTTGTTAAATGAACTTTTTTTTCAAAGAGCATATTTATTACCTTAACATCTACTTTTGACAATCATCGAACTCATCTCATTGTAGAAGAATAGAATAAATAAATCATCTAGATATAGTGTAGTTCTAAGACAACGACTGCTTATGGGGAAATGTAGTATTATATCTATAAAACTTTGTTAATATTGACTATTTTATTTTGAAAATAAAAGGGTTATCTAAAAATTAAACTTTAGCGTAAAAGCTTTTTTACGTAAAAAGACGGAGAAATAGTTATTAACGTAATAAGGCCGATAAACAACAAATAACGGCCGGGCTGAAGTTTGTGATCCGAGGCGATAGCCGAGGATCATAAGCAGCCAAGGCCGTTATTTGTTATCGGCCGTGTTGCGTTCTAGATTTTTCGTCATACTGCAGATTTTTTAGAGCAATAAACACTACTATTTAATAACAAATTTTATTGAACAATAACACAAGTAAGGATAAAAAATACATAATGTCTTATACTAAAATTCATTTTTCATGATAATGAACATGGAAATTAAAAGTGCACTTGTTGTTCTTAGAAATCTGTAATCCTTCCCAGGGATTTACAGATTTTATAGAAGAAGATGATGCTACTGAAGAATGGCAAATATTTGTATCCACTAAAGACACATTATTTTTGGAGCTATCATGAAAAAGTTGATTTGTTATTTTCATTCTTTTGGAAACTGATTTTTCTATGTAAGTTTCTGCCACTGTTGAAGACTCCCATCCTCCTAGCTCCTTTAGCGATAGTAAATCACCACCATTTTCGGCGAGCATGGTTGCTGATGATCTACGAAATGAATGCCCTGTATAACGTTCTGGATTCTCCAAGTTCAAAAATTTTGCAATTTTCTGCGGTACGCTCCCGATGGTATGTATACCGACGATTTGCTTAACACACTTGCCTTTCTTGTAACCAATGAAAAATTTTGGATTGTCAAAGTTATGAGGACGCAGGTTGATGTATTTTTGTATAAACCATAGGCATCAAACGGAAGGCCCGTTTTTGGAATAAGAAATTTCCTATCTTTCTTATTTTTAGTATTTCTTAATGAGACAAGAATATTTTTCTCCGAATCTTCGAAATCATCAACTGTGAGTGACCAAAGCTCGCTGCGCCTACAAGCTCCAAGAATACCAAGCACCAATACAATTTTTTCGAGTAACCAGGTGTAATCATCGGCATCCAGTAGAAAATTATTTATGTCATTCTCCGACAGAACTTTGGCTTTTTTGGTGAATAACCTTCGTTTTTGCGCCTCAGAAACATGAACAGTTTACCAAATCTATGAACAAATATAATTTAGATGAGTATGATTAAATATCGAAGAATATAATGGCTTTTTACCTTGATATGTCGATGTTTTCATATACTCTCAACGCAAGCTTCAGCATGGATATCTTTGTCCACAGTGATGTAGGAGAATACATTTCAGACATTCTTTTAGCATAAGCCAGCAATACCGCTTCATTTACGCTGTTTATATTTCTATCCTGCCGCCACTTCAAAAAATTCCTGTCATATTCCTGCTGATATCTCTCTCTGGTTATAGTCGGAAGTAAATTTTGAGTAGCCGCAGCCGCTTCCTCCTGTATTTCCAACGGAATTTCTCGCGACATCTCGCTATGGTCTATTTTCCCAATTTTTGAAAAGTCCAACTGACAATAAATAGTCATTGTTGCAGGTGACAGACGTTACGATTACCTTAGAAACTTAACGGCCGCCGGCCGTTATGATAACGTCCGGCGGACGTTATATGCATCTTTTCCATTCTGATTTTGCTTATGTTATAATAATATAACAATATAGTATGACGAAAATGTATATTTTGCGTAATATATTATCTTCATTTCAGTAGTATACAGGAAAGTTTTTAAAATAGTTTGTTTTTCTACATACATTTTCCTACAAACGTAAAAACCGGCAGCACTGTATGCCGCTCTTTATTTTGTCTCTTTGTCTGTCAACCACAACAGATGAAGTGTCCAGGGCTAGTAGATAACTGCAAAAGTAATCTTTCAAATTAAATGTAGTCAATATTGAAAAAAATCTGGATAATTACAAAATTACCCATGTATTATCGCATTAGAATATAATTATTGACTTTTAGCTTTTAGTATATTTATTTATATGTAAAAAATCTGTACAGAGATAAAAACTCTAGTCGTTAAGTTTATAGGCTCAAGATTTCGGAGGATTTAAATACTATAGGTCATTGTATATAATTTTAAGAATACAGTGTTTTAATCTTAATAATTCTAAATGTAAATATAGGATGTTACTTCTTTAGACGGACCAACGACTCTATAATAAATTGTTAGACGATAAAATGTTTGTTTTGTATTCGTTACTATATAGGAAACAGAAGTAATATTGTAAATACATATCTTCTTTTTAATGTGTAAGTCTTTCTACTCAAATTTCTGCGCAAATTTAGCAAAATACAGATAAAAATATTGTTAAATAAGGCTTGATATTGTATTGTATAGAAAGAAACTTTATAAAAATAAAATTTAATTAATAAATACAGGTAGTACGATTTTTATTTTTCACTTTTCTACTCCTAAAATAATTGTATATTAAATCATCCTGATTGATCTTAAAATAAAAAAGTAAATAAAAATTATTATACAGGATGTACAATTGTTGATATAGTTTGTTCAAACTTCGTTTAACAAAGTAATCTTAATAGGTGTGCTCTGTTTTTTTATAAAACAAATGTTTAAATACAATGAAGTTCTTTATTTGAAAATATCCCAAATCATTCGATGCATACCTACATAAAAAACTCTATATTCTACTTATTTACATTAAATATAGGTAACCAAAGTCATACTACTAATATAGCAGTAATTTAGAGCTACAGGATATAGGTGAACCTAGAGATAAGTCCTTCTATGTACATAGATACATAATTAAAAAAATCTTATTTTTCACTCAACAAAAAATTGTCTCTCCCGCTAAACGTCCTGAATTATCTCAAATCTTCGTTTATTTTCACATTCCACGCACAAAGTTCGTGCTGATTCAGTTATAAACAAAAATGTTCGTCCTCTAATCGTCAAAATCAACTTTAGAAGATCGTCTCCGATCTCATACCTGCCTCAGGTATATAGTCCTCTCCCAAATCTTCTTACCCTGCAACTCGTTGACAGCTCTGAAAGCATCATCTGCATTGCGAAACGTCACCTTAGCTTCCGCACTCGGTGTATTGTTAGGGTTGTACCTTCTGCTTACGTTATTGGTACAGCTATATCCGTCGAAGAAGTCCAGGATTTCGTCCGTTCCAGCCTTGTAAGGAACGTTGTCCATAAACACCGTACATCCTGGTCGATTTTCGTCAAAGTTATCCTGTGGAGGATGATTGAACCTATGTCCACCACCGCGGCCTCTACCTCCGAACCTGGGACCTCCCACGCATCATGGGTCTCTCGTTCATCATAGGTCTCTCATTCATCAAAGGTCTGACGTCTTGAGATAACATTAACAGAGGGAAGCTAGGAGGGACGATGATATTCTGGTGGATCTGTAGTTTCTCAAGCTCATCGCTCGGTACGTTAGGCAGGTTCATAATAGGTCCTTCCTGCATCGGTTCATCGTCGGTTTTGTCATCCGACAGTAACACCACGTTATCTAAAATCTTAGTCATCTCCTGGCGAGGTATCGGGACAACTGTCATGACGTTTGGTCCTAACGTAGCTCCATTTTTACACAAAGCCTTCTTTGCCTCGTCGTTTGAACTAAACTCGCAGTAAACTTGGCCTGTGAATCCCATGTGGTTGCCCATGAGGTGAATGTTTAGTGGAATTACACCGATGTCAGAGAAAAAGTCTGATATATCTCTGTCGGTAGTCTTAGAAGGAAACTTTGTTAAACTGAGACAATCAGTCGGAGAAGTTATTGGATTTGCTCCGTTCAAAGTAACCGACTGTTCGCCGCTGATTTTGTTTTGATGCGACAAATGAAACAAACATTTAAATAGAATGAAGTTCTTTATTTGAAAATATCCCAAATCATTCGATGCATACCTACATAAAAAAACTCTATATTCTACTTATTTACATTAAATATAGGTAACCAAAGTCATACTACTAATATAGCAGTAATTTAGAGTTACAGGATATAGGTTAACTTAGAGATAAGTCCTTCTATGTACATAGATACATAATTAAAAAAAGCTTATTTTTTACACAACATAAAATTGTCTCTCCCACTAAACGTCCTGAATTATCTCAAATCTTCGTTTATTTTCGCATGCCACCCACAAAGTTCGTGCTAATTCAGTTATAAACAAAAACGTTCGTCCTCTAATCGTCAAAATAAACTTTAGAAGATCGTCTCCGATGGGAGAGGACCATATACCTGCCTCAGGTATACGGTCCTCTCCCAAATCTTCTTACCCTGCAACTCATTTACAGCTCTGAAAGCACCATCTGCATTGCGAAACGTCACCTTAGCTTCCGCACTCGATGTATTGTTAGGGTTGTACCTTCTGCTTACGTTATTGGTACAGTTATATCCGTCGAAGAAATCCAGGATTTCATCCGTTCCAGCCTTGTAAGGAACGTTGTCCATAAACACCGTACATTCTGGTTGATTTTCGTCAAAGTTATCCTGTGGAGGATGATTGAACCTATGTCCACCACCGCGGCCTCTACCTCCGAACCTGGGACCTCCCACGCATCATGGGTCTCTCGTTCATCATAGGTCTCTCATTCATCAAAGGTCTGACGTCTTGAGATAACATTAACAGAGGGAAGCTAGGAGGGACGATGATATTCTGGTGGATCTGTAGTTTCTCAAGCTCATCGCTCGGTACGTGTTCGTCCTCTAATCGTCAAAATCAACTTTAGAAGATCGTCTCCGATCTCATACCTGCCTCAGGTATATAGTCCTCTCCCAAATCTTCTTACCCTGCAACTCGTTGACAGCTCTGAAAGCATCATCTGCATTGCGAAACGTCACCTTAGCTTCCGCACTCGGTGTATTGTTAGGGTTGTACCGTCTGCTTACGTTATTGGTACAGTTATATCCGTCGAAGAAATCCAGGATTTCATCCGTTCCAGCCTTGTAAGGAACGTTGTCCATAAACACCGTACATCCTGGTCGATTTTCGTCAAAGTTATCCTGTGGAGGATGATTGAACCTATGTCCACCACCGCGGCCTCTACCTCCGAACCTGGGACCTCTAGGTCCCATCCTCCCACGCATCATGGGTCTCTCGTTCATCATAGGTCTCTCATTCATCATAGGTCTGTCATTCATCAAAGGTCTGACGTCTTGGGGTAACATTAACGGAGGGAAACTAGGAGGGACGATATTCTGGTGGATCTGTAGTTTTTCAGGAGGCTCATCGCTCGGCACGTTAGGGAGGTTCATAATAGGTCCTTCCTGTATCGGTTCATCGTCGGTTTTGTCATCCGACAGTAACACCACGTTATCTAAAATCTTAGTCATCTCCTGGCGAGGTATCGGGACAACTGTTATGACGTTTGGTCCTAACGTAGCTCCATTTTTACACAAAGCCTTCTTGGCCTCGTCGTTTGAACTGAACTCGCAGTAAACTTGGCCAGTGAATCCCATGTGGTTGCCCATGAGGTGAATGTTTAGTGGAATTACCCCAATGTCCGAGAAAAAGTCTGATATATCTCTGTCGGTAGTCTTAGAAGGAAGGTTTGTTAAACTGAGACAGTCGGTCGGAGGAGTTACTGGATTTGATTCGTTCAAAGTAACCGACTGTTCTCCGCTGATTTTTTCGAATTCCTCGTCTTTACAGGGTTTCACTGTGACAGGTTTCCCGGAAATGACGTGGTGAGATTTCTCTTCCAACGCCTGTCGAGCTACATCCTGTCCGCCAAATTTGACGTAAGCCACAGACCCTCCGCGAGGTCTGGTATTCAAATGGAGCGATATCAGCGGATGCTGCGAGAATATATGCAAGATATCTTGCTCTTTGACGTAGGTAGGCAAATCCTCGATTTTCAAACAAGTGAATTCTTTGATCTGGGGTTCTGAAGACGCTGTGTTGTTGAAATACTTCGAAATATTCCTGTGTCTGAATTTATTATGAGGGTCGTCCGCTTGATGATTTGGATCCATTCTGGGATTATACCGATCTAAAGCTTCATCGAAGACTTGGTCGGTGATGCTGACGATCTTGACGTCGATGTTGTTCAACTTTTGACCGCTCATCTTCAAGGCTTCGTTTTTGGCGCTGCTGTCGCGGAACTGTACGAAGCAAATGCCAGTTTTGTGGCCGTATTCGTCGTTAATCACTTTGATACCCTTGTAGTTAATGCTTAATCCGTTGAAAAATCGCCGAAGATCACCGTAAGATCCGTAGAAAGGCTCCATAGAGATACAAGCATTCACTGGAACATCGTTGTGATCGTCTCCGTTTCCAAAATGCTGTTTCCTATTGTTAGGACCCTGGTTTTTATAATCGAAGTTACCTCCTTGATGGTCGTTCCTCCTGTTCTGAAAGTTCGGTCTTTGTCCACCCATAGGACCTTGTTGAGGCTTGTCATTATTCTGGAAATTGTTACCCATATGTTGTTGCTGTTGCTGGTTGGACGGTGGCCAGGAGTCTCTGGCTCTCATGTTTAAGTTCTGCTGATTGGGTAGAGTGAAATTGGGGTTGTTGACGTTGGGGAATCCGTTGATTCTTGGAGGTTGTATGTTAACTCCGAGTTTCGCCTCTAGAGCGCGCTTGGCTATGGGATCGAGGGCCAAGGGAAACGCTCCAAAAATACCAGGTGCGTCGCTAGGGGGCACGATGTTCAAAGTAGCCGCTGGGACGACTGGGTTCGGATTGGACCAAACTTCTTGAACAGGGACTCGCTGGTTTACGGAGCCTTGTTCGCGGCTGCGTTCGCGCTCTCGTTTTGGTGATCTAAAAAGAAAAAATATGTTAATAAAATATTTTAATTACAGAGTGTTTCAAAAAGTATGTGCCATCTCTCGTGGGGAGATTCCTCACGTAAAAATAAGATTAACATAGGTCCGATTCTGCTTTGTTTTGTAGCTAGAGAGTGTTAAGTCTTAATATTTTTTTCGATTTATTATAATTTTCTTCAAAGTACTTTTAGCGTTTCGAATGAAATTTTGAGGATAAAAGTTACTATAAATGCGATATATGTTAAAGCTAAGGAAGTGTCAACATATTCATCAGGGACGTGCATATGCGTTATCACTGGAATTATTTTCTAAAAAAAGCATGTACGCCACTGACTTTTTTTTCTCTTGTTAGCGAAAGAGTGTAAGCAGTTTAATGCCGATTAAAATTTGTCTCTTGATATTTTGTCGATTTCGGCCTCCTTGATGAGATAAACGCAATTTTATTAATTTGTCTTCATCCAAGTCTAATAGCAACCTTTAAAAAAATTAATATCATTAACTTGCGAAAGTTTTAAATAAGTACTCATTGATTCCTCATCAAAAAATATGAAAAAAAGCTCCTATAAACATGGGTATGAAAATGCATAGTTTTAGAGTTATAGGATGTTAAAACTTTAAAATTAGATTTTTTGTAATTATCTTAATACCATTATTTGTTATTTGAAATTGCTGCAGGTTGGACTAATAGTAATAATATTTAATAATAAACTAGGTAAAATATAATATAATATATTATTTTTTTTTTATTAATTGTGATTAATAAAATTGCGTTTTATCTCATCAAGGAGGCCGAAATCGACAAAATATTAAGAAATAACTTTTAATTGGCTTTCAACAGCCTACCCAATTTTGATATCAAAAGAAAAAAGTCAGTGGCGCACACGTTTTTCTTTAAATACAAAAATATAAATAATAATGCATACCTATCTCTCCTCCTATCCCTGCTACGGCTCCTATTCCTACTCCTATCCCTCCTCCTCCTGTCCCTCCTATCCCTACTCCGGCTCCTAGTCCTGTCCCTATACTTCCTATCCTTCTTATCTCTCGACTTATCCTTCTTCTCTCTTTCCCTCTCCCTCGACTTGCTCCTGGATCTCCTCTTCTCTCTCTTATCCCTCCTGTCGCCGCTCCTGTCCACGTCCCTGCTCTCCTGCCTCATTTCCGGCACAGGGGCGGGTACCACGGGGGGTACGGCAGCAGGAAGAGGTGCTTGGGGGGTGGTCGCGGGCAGCATGAACGCTGCCATGCTCTGGTTGCGAGCTTGCTCAATGACGCGCTGCATTTCCTGGCGGGAGCTGAGCATGAGCTTGATCTGGATGCCCTTGATCTGGCCCTCGCTGCGGTTAAAGGCTTGTCTGGCATCTTCGTCGGTGCTGGAATGGAAAACAGAAATCGATGTTATTCTCCTAATAGTTTTTTTTATTAGACGAAGGAAAATAATAAAAAAAGACGGTGAAGTTATTGGACTAATTAGATTTTAAAACTTATAAGCTTTCTAGAAGCTTTATCAACACATCGAAGCTCTATCAAAGAAACTAAGCGCTGCCTGTTTTGCGCTAAGATCAGTTTCTAAGGAACTTAACTTATCAACCTCTAGAATAGCCTATTATGCCCTTTTTGAGTCACATCTTCGTTATGCCCTTCCATTCTGGGGTACTTGCTGCGCAACAAAATTTGATCGTATTTTTAGACTTCAAAAGAGAACAGTTCGATATTTATTGGGACTGAACAGTAGAACTCCTCCTTCTTTATTCATTTTTGAATCCGTTTGCTTAATCCGCAAGCACATATCTGCTATTCCCGAAAGGCCATCTCATAACTATCCACTTAGGAATGCGGAGCACAATCTGTATCTGCCAACCCCGAGCTTAGAACTAGTTAAAAGTTCAATACTGTACAATGCCAAAAAAATGTACAATCATCTGCCTTTGAATATCAAGTCGCTTTCATTCTTTCCCGCATTTCGCAAAGCTCTGAAATCATACTTACTGGAGAGAGCCCTATATGCGGTAAACGACTTTGTTGTTGATGTTTAATCATGAACAATTTTGAATTTTAAAATTTTGATCATCTCACACACTGGTCAAAGGTCAAGTATTTAATATTTTATAACTCTTAAAATTATATCTATTTACAATCTATCTATTGTAAAATGTTATTGATACGCCTTTTTTTGTGTTCTACAATTATCCATGTATGTTCTATTTGTAATTTTAATGACTTAAATTTTTTTTTGAATTGTATGATTTGTATTGTATATTTATTATTATTTGTATATTTTTTGTGTGTTTTGTAAATGCTTTGTCGATGAAGCTATTTTTGCTTTTTGCACAATAAAGATTTGTTGTTTTTGTAGAAACACAACTCTTCCAGTCTTTTCCCACTTAAAATATTAAACTGTGTTATATCACATTCATGATAGTAGCCTTGTTTATATATTAACTAGTTATTCAGCGTCAGTTAGTTCTGGGAGTTCACTGATAGATGGCTATGAGAATTGCTTCGCGGGTCTTTCAAAAATTTGAATTTCTAATTGAGTGGGACAATCGTAAGAACGGTAAACTTATTAGGTTAATAATTCTTATTAGTTTACCAACTAACTCACGCTGAATAACTAGTTAACATACAGGATGTCCCAGAAATAAGTGCAAGTATTTTAACTGGTAGTATACTTCAACCCCAGAAACACGCGTATGAGGTTTTTTCGCAATTTTTTTTTTCAAAATTCGAAATTTTTTGGATTTTTTTCAGTTTTTAGTTAAAAAACATAATTTCTTGATAATATGGCAACATAGGTATTAGATTAAATTTACAAGAAAGAAAATCCAGAAAAGATCCAGTGGATCTCAAAATTTTAGCAAATAATTTTTTTTTGGAAAATTTCAAAGTAAAATAACTCCGTTATTTTGGACTTATTTGAAAAACGATAAAGAGAAAATATGTTTCTTTTATCGAGATCTACCACCCCTTAAAATACTTGCACTTATTCTGGGACGCCCTGTATAAACAAAAGTAGTAGTTTCAATCGTGTCAGTTATTGTTATCAGTTCATATTAAACCAGTGACGTGCAATGCTTATCAAAGCAGGGTAGTGATGAAAAATGCAAGACCTTGCAGTCAATAAGTAGTCTTGGTCTTAGTTTTGCAGTAAGACTAGATGCACTTTCTGCATAGAAAATCTTTAAATAAATAGTATTTATATCAAATTGAATCAGCATTAGCTAATACTTCTTTTAACCATATTTTAGTTTTTACAGTTTTCTCCGAGTTTTTTATTTTCCTTTGTAACTAACTCTACCAATAAACTTTGCTAATAGAGTCACAACACAAGTTTTCCGCTATGTGAATTACGAAATTTATGAGTTTTTTTTTTCGTAATTTTTATTTTTTATTTTAAAACAAATCTGATTTGCTTTGAAAGTCTTTATTTTAAAATTGAATGTTTCACGTCAAATGTTCATTCAGCAGAACAAAAATAGTATCATAGAAAAATGTACTTTCAACTTTCAATAAAGCTATTGTATGAATGCATGAATAATCCGGGTAACTTTTTAAAAAAAAATCGTCAAATATGGCACCACAGAATTAAAATTATGCATGTTCTAGAGATAAGATAATCACTAGAAAATAAAATAAGGCATAATAGATTATATAAAAATAAATACATCTGATCAAAATGTCTTAGTACATATTTAGGATCTTTATTAGGTTGGAAACGTTCCGGACCACTGATATACTTGTCTTGCAGTTGATTAGACATCAAATATACTAATTATATTATATAATAATGATATAACATGAGCGCAGCATAATAAAAAAGAAAATCCACAGTAACCCATTAATTAATAGAAACTAGGAAACGAATACATCAGTTATCTAAGACTATTTTAAATATACAGCCATATATTATTATTATTATTATTCAATGATTGATTAGAATTACTCACACACGGATGTTCTTATTTAATTAGCATCTTATTTGAAGAACAGCTGAAATAATTTCTTCGTAAAATAATTTACATTTCTTATTGCATTTAATAATACCAATTAAACACGTGCAGAAAAATGCATTGTACAAGGGCATTGTTTTCTAAATTGCTCTACAATATTCATTGTTGTAGATAAATACAGGACTCAATCGCCTAATCAGTAAAATAAAAAGCACTTTAAGACGCCCAGTTCGTGTTCTTTTTCACTTAATTTTTACTACCCGAAACAGCGTTACATCACACAAACCTAGTGCCTGAATGTTCTATAGTTTTAATGACTGCACTTTTAAAAACTAAAATACTTAAATATTATGATAAAGCCACGATTGTGATATTATCTCAATGCGCTAGACATCGGAGCTGCGTGAAATACAAAGCTAAAACTTCTGATTTCTGCCATATAGAGCGCTACGGTCGGCATTTTTAAAATCAACTGAAATGCACCAAACCTGCAAAGAAAATTAAAGCACCATACATAGGTGTTGCATTTTCAATGTCACTTAGTACGGATTTTTTAGTACACGAACGTTTTGATGAATCCAATGTGTCTTTGTTTATAGTTTGTCTGTTGAAAAAAAAACGGTGTTAGAGATCGTTGGCTTCGATATGACGATTGACAACATTTATATGTTTTTCATCTTGGATCTTCATATCCAAACCAACTCCAGACGCCCAATCATTCAAAGAGTTGCACAGTGCACAGAGATGATTTATCAATTTGCCATCGATGTTAATCCTATTGAATCCCCCAGAGTTTATCATTTTTAACATACTTTCTAGCATAGCAACGAATAGTTTAGGGGAGTGTGTCGCCTTGTCTTACCCCTCGATCGATATTGATTTTGTCTATGCATTGATTTACATAGCTGCATAGTAAAGTCATAAAGTATGCTTTAAGGTAAGCTACATATTTTGAAAGAATAATATTTAGTTTTAACTTAATTTTGCATCTTAATGATGCATTATGGTAGTAGGTAGTATCCTCAAAGGTATAATAGATATGAGGCACCCTTGGACAATATCGTTATTACTCGAATAATCGTGAATACCTTTTAATTTTGAAATATACTAAAACATACAGGCCACCACAATAGCATTGGAAATTCTGTCCGCTGCATATAGAGTATCATTGCCAAAGCTTGATTCGATGCGCTCGATGACCAATAGGGTACCTAGGGTACTCCAATCAATAACTAAAGAATATAAGAACATGTAACGCCCATATAGGGGCTTCAGCAGAATTTGTGACCTTAGACGCCATTCTTTTGGTGGCAAACAATGAGTCATCAGCTGGTCACCAGCAACAATTTTAGCGATTTTTAATAGTTTGTGTGTAGTGAACTTTGTATAAACTTTATTACAATGGTGATTAGTTGTTCAGCTTTCAAGTGTAAAAGCAGCTGCGATAAGAAAGTCAAGAGTTACGTTTCATAGGTAAATAAACAGTCCGCTCCACCTTTTTAGCGTTTTCTTATTGAATTCGATAATCATTTTTCTGATATTATATGTACATGTGTGCTATACGTCGATACTAGTTTTGTACCTTTTGTTAAAATTTTAATACGTTTTTTCATAATTAATTAGTATGATACCAACGTATACACCATAGGCGTAGTCAAAACGTTTATCAAAAAATATAAATATCTCTTCAAACAGCTGGGTTAAGAAAAATATGTGCCACGGCACTGTTTGGTGACATCGTCACAATTTGCTCTCGGGTGTTATTTGTCCTTAGATTCTTTAGTCATTGACTCCAATAAACAAACAATAGACAGCTTACATCTGAAGTTACGTCAGTGGGTACAGTCCAAACTAATCCAAACGAAGCCGTAAGTAAAAAGTTTCACAAGTGATTATTCAATCGGGTTCATTTTGATCACAATAAAATCATACAATTTCCAAAATGGACTTAGTGTTATCAAATTATAGGAAATCCTCTTCAGTGACACAGGTTATATTCAAATAAATACCTGAGAACTCTTATTTGCTCATAGATGAAAGAATGAAGAACGATGAAAGAACGAAGAATTGAAAGAAATAAAATTGTAAAATTGCTTATAATCTTTTAACCTGTTTTAGCGCCTTGTTTGGAAAGTTTAAGCTCATCTCATTGACGTGACGTAATGACTTAGGCTATCTAAGTTGGTAAGCTCTATCTGTTCTATACTTATTTAATTTAAGGTGGCATTAAAACTCTGTACGCAGATTTTTTTTTTTGCTGAAAAAGACATTCGTATCCCCCATAAAATGAAAAGTTGTTTGTACCTGAAAGCGATGAAAGCATCGCCCAACTCCCCTCCGACGATGTGTACCCCTCCTTCGGGAATGCTCAGTCCATGGAAGTACTGCCTGATATCCAGAGCGTTGGCCGACCACGGCAAGTTCTGCAGCCTGATAATGATGCTCATGATGACGATGATGCAAGATCGAAACGTTCGCCAGGCGACCTAGAAAGAACAAGTCGACCGTGGTCATGTTGTTTTGGTTTGCTTTTGTCTTTTGGAAAGGAAGAGGGAATAACAATAATTAAATTAATTTAGAAGTTTGGTAAATTAAAACTCATGTTTTATTGAAAATCATTATTTATTCATTTTTTTTTGTTAATACAATACGATATATTTATCTTATATTACTAGTTATTATTGGTGAACTGTAACCAGTCCTGACTCAGTTGCAAGTGTGTTTGACTGCTAATTCCTAGCTAGTACCGTCGCTTTATTTGTTTAAACAAAAATATTTATCTAAACACTGCTACCATCAAGCTGTCACTTGAAGGAAGACGATGGCAAACTACCTTGAGTACATTTGCCCCAAGTACTGAGAAAAACGTTTCAAATAGGGCTGGATTCATGAATATAATACAGATGACGTATATGTATTTGTGAAAATTGATTACATACAGAGTACAAGTATGTCCAACGAGCCAAGGCTGATTTTCACAGACAACATATCAACCTGTCAATTATAATGACAGAAATCTGTCACTATCATCTATACTATACTCTCGTAAGACATACTTTACATGCGACAGGTTAGGTTGCCTACCCTACTATTAATCGATCGAATCGATTTTATCAAATAAAAAACAATTTTTGAAAAAATCATCGATTTTATTTCTGTATCTACGTTTTTCTTTTTTACAACTTGATGTAAACAACAAAAAAAATGTTTACACATCATATTACACAATACCTATATTGTACAAAAATATAACAAATACTATTATTATCATTGTTTAAATAACACAATTAAATAACTAAAAATAAATACAGAGAGTTTAAAAAGTAACAATTAGGATAACTGGTTATTAGGAAATGCTATCAACAAAATCGTGCTTTTTGATTTACTTCGTCTCGCCCTTTGGGGTAACTACCACAATTTTTTTATACGAGCCTACCTTGTGTGGTACATCGTTGAATAGCTCTTTGCCTTCTCTTAAGAAAAAATCTTAAATCCTATAGTTTTTCAGATACTGCATGGCCTTTTTTGAAAAGTAGTACATAATTTTAACTTTCAAACTAAACAAAATGTCGTCCAGGTATCAAATACACATTGAGGAATCCAATAGGATCTAATCCCCAGAAATGTATGTGAGAACCTCCTAATAACATTGTTGTCTAAAATATATCCCCGATTATTGTTTTTCAAATTGCTCCCTATATATTTCACAATACAGTATGCAAACCAACGAAAACGACGTCACATTAGGTGAGAAGATAACAGTTGTACACTTCGTTCATATTTAATTTAAGCCTGATCAAAATAATATGTATGCCGGCAAAAGCGAAACATGTATTGTTATAAAAATTATGACTATGTAGCGGAGAGGGGCGATTTATAAAGCCCCTGACTAACGTTGAAGTTCTTAATAAAGAGAAAAAATAAGTCTTTCAAAAAATCTATATCTTTTGTAGTTCTGATTAAACTATATGAATTTATGAAATACACTGATTCCCATCCGTGATCCTCAGATCATTTGAAAAAAACTTAAAATAAATATTTCCCAGCATGCTTGAACACACTGTAAATGGCATTTTCTAGTTGTGGTGCATATCCTACTTGTCGACAATGGCACAGGTCATTGTGGAATAAGTCTATCTAGTTGAAGCCGATTTTCTTGCTGCTAAAATATCAGTTTCATCCTGTTTGGATTAGAACATACCAGAACAATGCGCAATCACGCTCATCAATTCAAAGTTTTATATTAGAATTTATGAGGTAATTTTTTTAATAAAACCTTAAATAGATAAGCAAAGGAAGTGCATAGAGCTCTAAGTTACACAAGTATATCATGAGTATACAAAATTTAGATGGTTCTATATCAGCGTTCTTAGAGGGGTGACCTATTGTTCACGTTTAAACAAAAATTTCATCTTCTAGAGATGCACGAAATTCGAATAGTTCGCTATGGATTCATATGCAAAAAAAATCGTACGTCTGTTTAGAGTTCGAAGTAGAAAGCCATTCGCGTAACACCCTATGGAGTGGGAGCTATATTATCAATATAAGGGAAAAAATATAAGAGGAAAAAATATGTCTATAACTATAAACAAAATTTTATCTGTTAACTATACAGGTTGTTAACTGGACAGTTACTTATAGGGGAACAGAATGGCAACACTGTATATTGAGAACGCATGCACTTATAGGGTTTTCTGGCGTCTCGTCCCGTCGCGTCGTCTATCGACGAGCGGGCCGAGGTTGCCATATTTCAACCATAAAGCTCTTGCCGCGAGTAATAAACAAATTAACAACCTGTATAGCTTGGTTATTACATATTCACTTTCACTTTTTAGTACAATATAATTTTAGCCTGCTGTTCCAGTGTTCTGCCTGAAGTGTCCTGCACTCCGGTTTTCATTAACTAAATGTTTTTAAGCCATTTTCGAGGAAAGAAAATAAGGAAGATCTTTTCACAATATTTTTTTTTAAATATAATATATTAAAATTATATTCGCAAAGTATTTTTAAACAAATCGGTTATGTTATAACACATAACCATCAGCGTTGGCTATGAAATGAAGATCGCTGTCATTTAATATGTAAAATTATATGGAGAATATCATCGCTGTTCATTTCTAAGCTTCTTTCCGCCGTTTTTTTTTCGATCATACAGTACTTATACCAGTGAACTTATACCGTATGATCGAAAAACGGCGTCAAGTTGGCTTGGAAATGACGATAGATGGCATTCCCCATATAATTTTGCATATAAAATTACAGCGATATGGCACCTCCAGTCATATAAATGACATTATCGAGAAATATCACTTATATAACGTCTGAAGAAAAGTCGTTGAATATTATAAATTGGCTATATTTGTTCGTACGCACTAGGTAGACTCCATAAATCTTAAAATTAAGAACAGAGGTAAAAATATATTGTTAGGCTTTAGTCTTATTATTAATACCTTCATCAAAATAAATCATACAATTTTATTCAAGGTTTAGGCCATCTTACAGTATTATCTTAAGTTCTCTCATGTTTCCGAGTATTTGCTAATATAGGTTTAATATTAGATAATTACTAGAATCCATTTGATCATACGATATGTTCTGTGTATTTATCTAAAACAATGGATGAGTACGTTTCTCACAAAATAATTTAACAAGACGATTATTTATTATCATGTTTTATGATAGTATATATTTGAAAAACGTTATTAGTATTTTTATATTTTTTTCTATGATCAATAATATTATCTGTTGTTTTATCCCTTAGGAAACAGACTATTTTATTTGTGTAACAAAAGTTTAGTGCTTTTTGGTTTGTTAAAAATATAGTTATGGAAATAATGACCAGCTTGTAGATGAAAAAAAGTTGAAGAGTCCCACACTAAAGCCGGCTCCAGACTATGCATCAAATGCCCTTAAACGTTGGTGTTGCAATATTTGCCCACAATGTTTGTGGTCAGAACGTTTGCTAAACGTGTACCTACAGACAATGCATCCAGCGTTTGGTTGTAAAACGTTGACCAGTCTTGTAAAATTCATAATGGAGAAAAGACTACGTACATCGCAGGTTCCAATATTGAGCTGTCATGTATAATTTTGCTGACAAATGATAACAAAAAGACGTCAAAGGTAGTGGATGGTATCTCTTAATCGGAGTAGAGAAACCGTCATTTAATTTATTGCGTTTTTGATGATAGGAGTGTTTAGAACTGGATATTTTTTACACATTACAGTAAAAACCAGAAATCAGTAAATGTTAACAATTACTAGTAAAAGCTCGCATTTTCTGATTTGCTAACACTACGCCATTAAGTTCAATAGCCAATTTTGAAACAAACTTTGGATCTTATTAGTAAATAATAGCATTGAAATTCGGTTTACTTTTTGACCTTCTAGCAGCTGCTGTTAAATTATTATTCTGAAATTACGAACAGAGCTGATCGGTACAGCAGCTGACTGGAAATTCGACCTGACACATTCAATTTTATACAAGCAATCATATAAAAAAAGGTTGAAACCAAAGCAATCAAAACTTATTGGTGCATCGTGTCCATTGTCTCGATGCTTTTTGAGATGAAGTATAAGGACAAATATTTTAATTTTGGTGATTTTCTTATCCTTTTCTTCAGCTTAAATATTGAGAGGATTCAATGTTCTTAAAATTCTTATATGTTCCAACTTCCACCAAAGTACTACCTATTGTAGGTACAATAAAATGATAATGTTATTTATTAGTAAATGTTATTGTCACTAGCGACCGCTAAAATTTTTTGGTAAAAGTCAATAATTTTTTAATATGACATTCACTAGTCCAATACGTAATTGTTTGCATTTCTCCGTGATTAGTAATGTTTACTGGATTTCCGACTTTCACTGTAACATCACTAACAAATTCTAAAATATGTTCATTATTCCCCTCCATAACTATGTTTATTTATTAATATAACTGGTATTAACTTTTGACACCCCCCATAGACCCACAAAGCCTGTTGTTCCGCAAAGAAATGCTTGTCACTGAACAAGACAAAATATTTTTCAGTTGACAAAAAAAGTTGGACGCTTAGTCGGTGGGTTTAGTTTGGTTTGGACGAAACACGAATGTGATAATGGCACGATTAAAACATGATAAATTTTAAACAGTGACAGGAATGGCACGAGTGTGCTGACTGTAGTAGATACTAGTCACTGCAGGCAGAGATTATGCAGAGAATGAGATTGGCGCAAGATACCGAGGACAAGCCTTCCTGGAAACATCAGAAACTATAAAAAAAACGTCATAATATGTACCCGATAATACCCTATAAATAGATGAGAACAGAACCAGTCGCAATCGTTCACCATTCAATCGGCAAAACTACGTTATATCTGACAGGTTATCCTCGAATGTAACATCTATACATTAAAATGTTAGATATGGATGATGAAATTTATTTGCAAAATAAAGCCACAAAACCCACTCTAGGATACGATAAAAAAAGTAACGGTCAGCAAG